ACTGATGCCGCAATGAAGCAAGGAAATCCAGCGCATACTGGTGTGTGAATTTTATTCAAAATGCAAATTGTTTCATTGCTTTTATTTTCTGAAGAATATTGATTAAATAATATTGCTTATTTTTGAATTAAGTAATTACAATAATATTTAAAAAAGCAGCCAAGATTTACAAAAATCCTCAAGTATTTTGTTTTGCAATATGAAAGCAAAAATTCACTCAAAAATGTTTGTTTTTATTTTAACTGCAAGTTTATTTTCACATTACTCTTTTTTTCTTAGTATTAAATGTAATCGAATTATTAATAATTTAATTTAGGTGGAGCAGCAGAAGCAGATGTAGCACCGGGTACCGGTGCGCAGTTACAGTGATGGACAGTAACATGAATGGATCTCGTCAGAGCTATCTAATCATAATATATTTAATTTCATTTTTATCCTTACAGTTATTATATTTTCCATCTCCTAGATCTCAGCAGACAAAGAATGTTTTTATTCATTATAGTTGTAACAAGCTATGACCACTGATTATTATAATTATAGATTTAGATCTTAATTTGACATTGCTAACTTTACATTAACTTACTAAAAACTTATTAATACAAATTTTCTTAAAAAATACTAAATTTACTTCCTATACTAATTTTTGTAGTTTTGTAATCATATATTTTAACATCACTAAAGTGAAATCGCATGAATCTAGTGTATATTTTCATCAGAATGCAGTCACTCACTCTTTCAGTGCGAACATATATATGCTTAATTATTTTGCGATAAAATTAATTAATTAATTAATTTTTTGGATTTTAATGCAAAATTTTAGTGGAGCATTTTTAATAAAGCAAACATTAAGTTTATTAATTTGCATATAAATTTTGGCAACATTATTTTGGATTAATATAACTGCAAATGATACACAAATTCTGAATGCAACACTTTTTTGTATATGCGTTTTCTGCAGATTTTAGTAAGCTGTACTTCGAACTTCATTTTCATAATATTCTATTTATTCCATCTGTAACGATTCTTCTAATTTTTCCTTTAATTAATTTTGTTAATAAAGAAATACGCTCTTTCATATTCAATTTGCCATTCGCAGGAGCACATACAAGATATAAGCCCGAGAAAAACGTAAAAATGAAGCCAAATCTTAATTTAATAATCTACACAACAAGTCACTTTTATGCAAAATTTTTCAAGCAATTCACCCAGCACGGATTTAAATATTTTTGAAATATTTAAATAAAAAAATCAGTAAAAATTTGATACTAAATTTGCATACAGTTTGAATTTGATTTGTGAGATGTGCATTACCTTTGGACTATTTTCAACACTTATTAAATAGTAAAATAATATATTATTTAAAATTATGGTATAGTAATTTTGAAAATTTGGACAGTTATAATATAATAATATAATATTTAAAATTATAATATAATAATTTAAAATTTGAACTCAATATTTATATTTCACGTTTTCCATTTCACAAATTAGTGCAGTACAAAAAAAATGCCCACGTTCCAGGTATATTTTTATTGAACTGAAATAAATTTCCACATATACTGTAAACTACTTCATAACAAATTTGCTATCTATATTTGGGAGAAAATTGTAAGCGCAAAATTTCAAAGATTCTGCTAAATGTTACGATACACTAATTGACACTGTATTACTGCTAAGATGGTACTTTTGAATGATTACTATAGCCTAAAATATGTGAGCAACTGAATAGAGATAATGTAATGTATTTATTTACTTTATACATATATTACGTGCAATGATTGTTATTTGCTTTGCCTGAACAAAAAATTGAGACGAAAGATTTGTCAAACGTTGTCATTCATACTCCTCATCATCATTTCTACAGTTTTACCACATACACTTTATAAACACATATGCACAGATGCACACTACGTACACGTTATATTTACGTGTATAGATGCAACCATTTATGAACTTACGCATTAGTTTGATCATGAAATATTTCTAAAAGCACACACGTACGTAGACAAATAGCAAATAATAGAGATAACGCGCAGCACATTCATACACAAATACGAACGGTCAGGCACGCATACGTCTTGTTCAACATTGCCTGTTATAATAATGCTAGCTGGTATTAGTAGTAATGTATTCATTTTTGACTGCTTGTACACATTCAAATATTTTGTACTTGCGTCTTTATTCACGGGTTTATATTATGAAATGCTTATGTATAGAATTTTCATTTCAACATTTGCATACAACTATGCAAATTTTGACACATACATATATATACTTGCTTTACAAAAGTTTATACGTGTTTGTATTTAAATCTGCACGTGAATATTATCTCCTGCATTTGTAATTTAAGAATTGTACAAAAATATAACCCATGCATGTGTATATTTGAAAATATCAGATCTAATCTTCAGTTCATAAAAAACAAACTAATTAACTAAATGCATAATTATTAATCAATCATAAATATATTATTTTATTATTATCATTATCACCTTTTATAAGAATAATAATAATTATTGTTATTATTATTAGCAATACTTATTTTGCAAATCGAAATATACATTTCAAATTGAGATAGCAAGTAAGAACGATGCGCAAAATGCGAAAGTAAGCACAGCGCTACACACGCATACACACCCACGCACAT